TTCCCCGAATGTAAACAACATTGTATTCCCATGGCACTGCCCTGTTATAAGTCAACGGATCGGGAATTGAACTTGGAAGTGTTGATGCTTGGGTTGGCAGGGGAGCAACCGGATTCAGATTTGGCGCAGGGAGCGTTGGAACTTTTATAACCAATGGAACTCTTGAAGTATTCCTCTGAACATTGGCCCGATAATACGGAATCTCTAGAATAGCGACATCACCTTCGGGGATGACTTTCTCAACTCTAACAACCCCTTCGTCCATCAGTATCTGAATGGAATTTTTCAAATCCTCACACTCATCCGGATTGGATGAGCATTTCAAACAAAAGTCGTGAAGTTCTTGTAGAACTTCTTGTTGTAAAAGATGATTTCTTAAAACTGCCATTGACATCTGAATCTCTTCAACCTGAGTCACTAAGTCGTGGCCATCGTCAAACCCAATAGCATTGGCAGCAGTCCCATGGTGGGAAGGCATAGGATTATTCTGAACATTAGGTCCTATAGGAGCGAAGCTTAACTCCTTAGCATCTAAAAGAGACTGCACGTTGTACTTTAAAGCTTTGCAATTTCCGATCGAGTGGCTTGGAGCGCCTGAATGAAATTCACAACGTGCATTAACATCATAACCCCTTGGGAGTTCTTCCGGTGGAGGAGCTAACTCTCGAAGTTGTACCAACTAACCGGCTAACAATTGCAGAAGCAATTGAGCATACAAGGGATTGTATCACACCTCCTTTCGAGATAACTTTGCGGCCTTTGTTGACCCTTTTGTCCCTGAGGCCTTTGGTTCTGTTGATAGTTTCTCAGCTGTGCATACTGTTGTTGTGAAGCAGTAGTAGGGGTTTGGTAATATGGAACTTGTATAATAGCTTTCCCCTTATCATCAGAGGCATTGCTCACCTCTCCCTCCTTTTTCTTGATGTAACCACTAGAGTATGGTTTCTTCCCACCACCTGAGTTGTTGTTACCATTTGTGCCAGATGCACCTGAAGTAGTCCCTACTTTAATACACATTTCAACCCGCTCCCCGATGATGACCATATCCGAAAATGAATCTAAAGTACGGCTGAGCATATGTTGTAGATACGGGCCTCAGAGGGTACTCATAAACAGATCTATCAGTTCCTGGTCTAGGAGAGGAGGTTGAACTCTTGCGGCCAAAATGCGCCATCTTTGGGCATACTCTTTGAAAGACTAACCATTCTTTTGAGACATAATTCACAGTTTCGCACGACTAGGTGCTATGGCGGTGTTGTAGTGATAATGTTGTAGGAAAGCGTCGACCAGCTCGCCCCAAGTGCTAACATGAGTTTTCTCCAATTGCATGTACCATTATAATGGAGCTTCAACCACATTGTCCTTAAAGAAATAAATAAGTAACGACTCATTGCTAGCATAAGCAGCCATCTTTCTGCAGTAAGATCGGAGATGAGTCTCTGGGCATGTAACCCCTTTATACTTGTCGAAATCAGGTACCTTAAACTTTGGTGGAATCACGACCCCTGGAACCAAACACATATCAGCGACACTGAATCCTAGTTTCTTAGAGGTCTCCATAGCCTTCAAGCGTTCTTCCAAAGCTTTGTACATCTTAGTAGTTTCAGACAAATCGACCGTAGAATCCTTCGGAGGGTCATCGAGATTGATGACATCATGGTGGTCATCCATAATATGTCGTGGGTTCTCCTTAGGAATCCCCCCATGGTCATTCCTGGTTCACCATTTTCGGATGTGGAGGCACTGTCTACCAGTTCAGTAATGCTTATTCTGAGCTCTTCCTTCCCTTGGATGACGACATGAAGAGTTTCCATGAGTTGATTCATTCGATCACCCATGGTGTCCATGTCTTTGCGGAGAGCAGCCTGGTTTTGCTCAATCTGTTCCATAATCCTCAACTTGTTGGCTCGAGTGCGATAAGGATGTAGGGAAGTCATCTTGTAGATTCTGATAATAAGAGGCAAAACCATCAGATAAAAATCCCGTAAGAAAACCTGCAATTCATGAAATGCATGATATGTATGATGTATGAAATGATTGTCCATCCCGGTTTTCCACAGTTCAATTACCGTCAGCAGTAATCGAGCAACATGATGATAAGAACGATCGTATAAAGAAAATATCTAGAAATAAGAGAAATTCCCACAGAATTGAATACGAGAAAGTTATGGGAGTATAAGATGAGCAACTCCGTCTAACAAGCTTATTGGTAACAATATAATAATCAGTCCGGAGGTAGGTTACCATTCTTTTCCCATTTCTATCTCACATCATCAAGGCCCAAATAAAGTGCATTAGCGATAGTTTCAAAATCATGCTCGTTCGGACTAGCAACAAGTAGGTGCTCAGTAAATGGGATCGTTCTTCAGGAATTGGAACAATCTGATAGTCTTGGAAGGTGTAACTCGTAGTTTGTAAAACTGAAGTAAGGTCAAAATACCACCATGTCTTCCGATAAAAATTCTGCGTTGGGACGGACTAAAAAGGTCTTTTAAACTCTTCAAAGAAGGCCGAGAACTTGAGCGGAAAACTTGAGCGGAAAACTTGAGCAACACTGATAAGTACAATTGTCTCTCTTGGTCCTCTTGAGAACACCACTGTTGCTAAAAGTTACTGACAAAAATTATGCCAGAGGGGTACCCCGAAATGGACATGCACATGCAAGGTTAGTACATTTCATCTTTCTGAAATTTCTTTCTGAGAAATAAACATGCTATGATGTAAATGAAAATGATCATGGGGTTACTACTTCCATGATACCAATTTCTGTTGTACTGTCTATGCGTAGTCTGTAAGTACCAGGATCATAGGTCTGGAACATATACCACAAAATCTCATGAACAGATTCGGGACTCGGAAAATAAATTTGAGAACCACCTAGTCACCGGCAGAAATTCAGAGCACATTAGAACCGATAGTCACCGTCTGGGTATAGTCACCATCTGAACATGAGTAACCGTCTGAACTTAGTCACCAATTATACCTGTAATAATGAATCCCTCCCCACTCACAGGTGAAGACTAGGTCAGGGTAAGACAATTGTAACTCGAAAATCACGGGTTCACTTGAAAGTAAAATCATCACAACACAGACGTGCATGATGAAAGTACCTCCAATTGAACCTCATCCGAGCACGGTATATGACATGACTGCACTAATCGGACCACGTCCTATAGCTGTCATGCCCCACTATATTCCTAGTGTCCTACTTCACTCTGGCCTGGGTACTAGGCCTTTTACTTCAATAGTAACATCCCAACCCAATCAAGAAGCAAATCCAGTAAAGTAGTAGTATATGGAAGACAGTAAAATGCAATGCATACATATGCTCAAGTATATACAAAATGATTGAATGAACTGAAAGCATAAAAATAAACACCCAAAGAAAAGAAAGCAAGAGCTAGGAGCGACTCCGGGATGGACCAACATTTGGTCGACCTATCCCCAGTGAAGTCTCCAGCTGAAACAAATGGTAGAAAATCATCAAACAATGAAGTCGCCATCGAACGTCTTTTATCCCATATGGAGGGAAAGGTAAACATCGAGAAAACATGAGAAGGGAGAAGTCACGGTCTTGCGACCGAGAGTTCGGGTAAGGGAGTCTGTTACGCGAGGGGAAGGTATTAGCACCCCACGCGCCCGTAGTACTCTACGGTATCCACTCTTGTTATATATCTTATGGGTGTGTTTAATCTATGCTTACTGTTTACTATACTACTGAAGGAAGAATGCATGCAAAAGAGAGGAGAAAATAATGTAGGGAAAATAAAATTGTGCTCGCTTAGGCCCTACCCCAATGCCTACGTATCCTTTTTGAGGAATCAGAGCTACCGTAGTTTGGCTCACATGTTTTGTTTGTTTGTGTTTTTTATGGACAAATTTAATTCTGCCTTTTTCCAAAGCTCGACCTTTGGGTACTTATGTGTTGGCACATAAGTAAATTAATCATGTCCTTACCTGAAAAGGGTTTTTTAGAGAAAAGGTGCTTGAGCGTACAAAATGGTTTGGATTGGTTTGTATTTTTTGTTGCAGATAATGACTAGTTAACCTCAAGAGAGAGATATTAGCCGCTTTTCTACTTAGCCATGAAAGGAGTCTTGGAGAATTGAACCACGCCTAGGCCTGAGATGGAGAACAATAAGACCGAGAAGAGACCTGCTTATCATTTCCCATACTAATCAAAGGCATGATTCTCATCAGTAGTTTTAAAGTGTTTTGAAGTTTGAAAAAGAAAGAAGTTTTAGTTTTAATGCAAATACAAAAGGGGAAGAAAAGTCGAAGGGAGACTAGCCTATTTCTAAACCTAATTTTATTATGCATCATGGTCCTAAAATTGGGAATTTCAAAGGAATTTCAAAGTCGAAGATTAAATTTGAACCAAAATCACATAAGGGATCATGAAATACTATACAAACAAGTAAAACTAAGCAACGAGTATTAAAGTATTGCATACAATCCCTACCAAAAATCGCAAATGAAATATATGACATAAAATGAGTAAAACTAGGGATCAAAATTGACTAAAAGTTAGGAAAAGGGAAATAAATTCCTAACTAATTTCTAAAATGCATTATAACATTTTTACCATTTTTACTATGTATTTTTTTATTAAAAAAATAATAAAAAAGAAAGTATTAAAAGAAATTATAAAAGGAAATTGAGAAAATCAGGGGGGTGAAAATTGAAATTCAAGAGGGTGCAGAAATCAGGGCGCCAGGCCCACAAGAAAAGTGCCAAGAGCCTTTTTGCTTTTCTGTTTCATTATTAACCTAAACTTCAAACAAACGGAAACGAGCCTAAGGAATGCCATTTTCGGCCCGTATATCTCAGTAAGCATTTTTTTGTTGAATTATAAAGCGTCAAGCTACCAAAAACATTACTGGGCTTAGGCATGTTCGGTTCATCCCAGTGATAGAGGGTTTTTGTTAAATTGCACAGGTTCACAAAAGCATAGTGTTAAATTAATCACAAAATAATTTAATAAAAAAAATAATATAAAAATGAAGGGAATTAGGTTAAGTCTGGGCGACGATCCCAATTCGTCTTCCTCTCTCGAACGAACGCGGCGGTTCACTGTTCATCCTCTCCAATTGAAATCATACAAAACGGCCTCCTCGCGAATCAGCGCCTCCGTCTTGCTTCAAGGTCCGCTCGAGAATTCTATTTTATCCCGGTTCCCTTTTTATTTGAGTCTCACCTCCGTCGAAGCTAAATGCCCATCATCTTCTCCGCGATGGTTCGTAGATTCGAATGACACCTAACAACTTGTATGAACCATACGGTATGGGAGGACGATGAAGAAAGGAACATTTCTTACCTACCGAAGTAGCTCCAGTAGCACTCGTTTGATGACGAAAACGGCAGGGAAAACCAAAGACACCGATGCGAATTCCAGGTAATCAAACTCAATCTTGCGTGTTCTTAATTATGGATTTCTTCTTCTCCTCTTCAAAATCTGCTTTTGTCTTGTGATTTCTGCGTGATGCATTTTTGGTTACGATGCTGAGCATTGTTGTTGTGCTTGCAAGATTAATGACTAAGCTAAAGCAGAGGTGTTGTTGTATGAATGAATACTCGAGGAAGATGAATATTGAAGTAAACCTTAAAGATTGAAGATGAATGTTTGGAGAATTTCGCGTTCTTGAGAGTTGCAAAGGGAGAGCAGATAATTTTCTGGAGTTTTCGCTTAGTGATTCTTCAGAATGAAAAGAATGATGAAGATGATGTTGAAGGAAGGTTACCGGTGGAAGAGAGAGTGAGAAGAGTAAAAGTTGAAGATGAAGATGAGAGTTCTTCAGAAAATTTCAGAGAGCTTAGAGGTGAATATTCTTTGTTTTTTTTCTGTCCATCTTGTGAAAGCTGAATTGTGAAAAAATATCATCCTCTGAAGAAAACCCATTCTGTAATATATGGTTTTTGGAAGTTTGTTACTGATTCTGTTAGGAAGTTTCTGTTGGATGCAGTTAGAGACAATTAGAGGTTGTTTAGAAAACAATTAGGGGGTTGTGAATGATTGGAAACAATTATAGGTGGTTGTTAATTTTGTTGGAAAGTTGGGAAGTTAAAGGAAGTAGTTGGTGTGGCGGTTATAGGGTAGTTTTTTAACTGTCATGGTTATTTCTGTTTTTTTTAAACTACTAGGGCCGTTATGGAGTTGGTTATATTCTATTTTGCTCCGGTTAGGAACTAACTGATATTCTGTTACTGAGCATGGAATTTGGTTAGGAAAAGTTTGTTATGGTAGTTAGGAATCGATTGTTGGTTTTTGTTAACAGTTTGGAGGTTAATTTCCGTTAGTTGGAAAATAAGCTAAAGGTTAGTCAGTTGGAATTGGTTTGAAGATGTCAAGAGGTTAGAAGTTGTTAGGTTGGGAAGTCAGTTGGAAAAGATGTTATAAAATCTGTTAGAAAATGGTTAGAGGGAATTTTTTGTTTAGGTTTGGTTAGAAATTTTGTTATGCATTTTCTCTTCCCTTTTCTGTTATAAGTTTTTTTTCAAATATGTTAGGACATTGGTACCGGATGTTATTAGGAGATTTAGAAATTCTGTCATGACTGAATCGTCGGGTTTCTGTTATGACAGTTAGGGTAACAAATAATCTGTTAGGAAGTGTTTTTATTAGGAATTCTGGAAATTAGTTGGAAGACGGTTAGTAAGAGTTAGAAGTTATGTTTTTTTCATTTGGTGTGCTGATTTTTAATTGAACAAGTTTATGCAGGTTTATGAATTAGTACTAAGGTTAATGAATACAATCGGGTGTTAAATGGTGAATAGGGTAGATCACTCATGTATTGCGTTACACTGACTTGAATTCTTTGGACTGGAATATGTACAAGTTTCAAATGAAAATTAGCAAAAGTTTATGAATGTGTTAGGCTGGTTTTGTGATGCTGATTAGTAATATCGTTTCTGATTTTTGTTTAGAGCTGAGGCCATCTGTTTTCTTCATGCGTAAGATTTTGGTTAGTAGTAGCATATTTGAGAATTATTTGGACTACAGGACAACATGGCAGCTAATAAAATGAACGATTAACTATTTTTTATGCAGGTTTTGTTGATGTACATCAGGACTGCAAGGGTTTAGTGATAGTTTTTGAGCATGAAGGTGAAGAATGAAAAAAGGGAAGAGATATGGCATAAAGAAAGGCCCTTGGAGTTTGAAGAACAACAGTTAGGACAAGGCGTTGTGCAGCTTTAGTAGCTTAGGACATTAGGAATTTTGTTTAGTTGTTTCCTTTGAATGTAATATGAATTTGTTATGGTTACAAGTATAAATGAATTTGGCGTTTGTAATGTCTTGTGCCGGAATTTGAAATGCATAGAATTTTACGTGAATGAACTTTTTAAAGACTCCGAATGGATTTAAATTTATATGGATGTTTCTTAACCTTTGCAACTTGAATCAATATTCGTACTGATCATGGACTTGAATGAAGTTGTATATCTTTTATAATGAAATGAATAAGTATTGCACATGATGAACGAGGTGAAGACGATTATAATGAATGAACACCTTGCACTTGTACTTCACTACTTAAATCTTAAGAAGTCTGAATGCATTCCCTTTCCGAACTTACGAATTCCCAACAACTTTGATGAATTGAACCAAATTTGAATATATGGAATCATTCGCTTCAACCTTAATCCAAATTGGCTCGCCTAACAAGTAACAAACAATTTGAGAGAATGATGCCTTGATTATGATCCACATCCTAAACTTGAAGGAATATCTCAAATTAATTTTCCATTCTCAATGAAGCCCTATATTCAATTTGATTTTCCAATCTTAAGGAAACTTTCATGACAAGCAACAAGTATGCGAAATAATAATGATGCCTTTATTACAATGAATCCGCAAATTCATCTCTTGCACCATGGCTTGCATTTCGCAATCCAATTCCACTATATCTTGACTTTATGAGTAACAAGATAGCCAATGCCTTGAATCCTTTGATAAAGGCAGGACTTGAAGCACAATAGGATACCTTGACAGGAGACTCAATGAATCTCAGTTTTTGAACATCAACAAGCTCAAATATGACGAGTTACAAACCCTAGTTCACTTGCTTTTGATAAAATATGATAATCAAGGTAGCTTGAGCTGATGGCGGGAACCAAAACCTTAGCTTACAATTGAATTCTTGATGAAGCATAACAAGCTAAAAACCCTAGCATCCTTCCCAGAATAAGTTAAAACCCTAGCGTCTTTCCCTGCTTGTTGAAGAAGCAGCTTGAATCTCTTGGATGAAGATAAGAGCCTCAGAGCCTTAAAGAAACCCTAATTCTTCAAAATCTTTAATCACATGCCACATTTTATTGATTAATGAATGAATGATGTGTTAGATGACCTAATGGAGTTATGTGCATGAGAAAAGTGCGAGATGCATAATCCAGATAAACGCAAAACAGGTACGACAAATTTGGGGTATTACACTGGAAACTTGAAAACCCGAAAGGGCGACTTCGGCAAAAATGGGTATCCTGGTGGGCTGAAAACCCGAAAGGGTGGTCCAGGAAAAAGTTAAGGATTAAAAGCATATGACTATGTCCCATCGAATCACCACAATCGACTTTATTACCAAGGTATAAGTTCAAACGTTCCAAGATCAGTCCAATCAACTTCTGTCAACGACAAGGGATATTCGAAGAGATTGGGGCAATAGTAGAGTTGGAACGCAATGAGATCATTTCCACATGGCTATCATTTTTGTTTTCAATTTTGTTTTCCTTTCGACGATTTGCTCTTACTAGGATCTCCGTCTCTTTGTACAAAAATGCCTATTCATGGGCAAAATATCAATACAAATATACTTTGAAGTGCAAACTTTCTATTTTTTTTTGTTTTGAATGCAAAGATGTCCAATGACTAAAATTTAACGAACATATGCATGTGAACATAATTAAAACTATTTAGCACATGTGTCCTACCAGGCTGCAGGAAGCATCTCTTTAATGTATATGGGATATCCCCACAAAGTTATCTCATTATCATTATCCCCATAAAGTCCTTTTCACAGGTTAGTCCCCAGCCAAAGTCTCAATCTGTTGACAACCCTCTCCCCAGCTGAGTTGGTCCTAAAAGAAGAAGCCTTGTGGATATCTTCCTAAAAGAACTCACCTTGTCAGCAGTTCGTTAAATATTCCTCAACATGGTTTATTTCCCCAACTGAGTCTGTCTTCCCCGGCTGAGTTTATCCTCTCCAGCTTGAGTTTTCCTCTCAGACTATTACAAATCAGAAGACCACGAACTCTTTTCCCCAGTAAAGTCACCAACAAATTCATTTCTATCTCTGAGAGTTGCTGAGAAGCCTGGGTTCGACCGGATAACAGTCAACCTCATTCTTTCAAACAAGTTACTATGAATCCTGGACCCGACCAGATAATAGTACAACTTTCAGTCACTATAAAGCCTGGACCCGACCAGATAGTAATGTAACTTCTGAAATACTATGAAGCCTGGCCTCGACCAGATAATAGTATAAATTTCAGTCACTATGAAGCCTGGACCCGACCAGATAGTAGTTTAACTTCTCAAAATACTATGAAGCCTGGACCCGACCAGATAATAGTTAACTTCTCAAGACACTATGAAGCTTGTACCCGACCAGATAATAGTTTAATTATTCGAGATTTCAAAAAACCTGGACTTAACCAGAAGAGGGTTTAACTTCCTTTCCCTAGTAGAGTTTTCCTCTACCCCAGCATGTTACTGTGAAGCCTGGACCCGACCTGATATCAGTTCAACTTTATCTTTTCAGACGAGATACCAGATAACAATTAACTTTATTCCATCATAAATTTATTGTGAAGCCTGGAATCCGACCAGATAACAACTAGTTTCAAACAAGTTACTTTAAACCTGGATCCGACCAGATATCAGTTTAACGTTATCTTTTTAAGCAAGTTACTGTGAAGTCTGGACCCGACCAGATATCAGTTTAACTTTATCTTTTCAAGCGATTTATTATGAAGCCTGGAATCTGACCAGATAGCAATTAACTTTCTTCCCCAGTAAGTCACTATGAAGCCTGGAACCCGACCAGATAACAGTTCAACTTCAAGAAATTTTCTATGAAGCCTAGATTTCGACCAGATAATAGTTAATTCAGATCTTCCCCCGCAAGTCACTGTGAAGCCTGGAATACGACCAGATAGAAGTCAACTATATTATCCATAACAAATATGCTACCAAGCCTAGATTTCGACCAGATAACAGCCAACTTTCGATGCTCTCCAGTCAAGAATAATTCCCCAGTAGAGC